AGTTTTCTGAAGGGGTTTCCAGAGACCGGATTTCTGGAAAACTCCTTAGAAAACTTTTGCAAAACCCAACTCTCATGCCATTAGAAAGAGGATCATGAAAAACCTATAAAAAAATGATTCATGAAATTTTAGTTCACACATAAAGCTAAAGTCCGCCTGCTCTAGCAAAAAATGCCCACTGTGCAACTTATACAGATAATGATATGTTTTTTTCAAAAAAGTTTTCAAAGTGTGATTCGGAGCCGAGGGAGAGTGTAAGAACTATAGAATTGTGTTTGATTTCATATTAATTCTAAACACTTTTATCTATCCTGTCTCATAACTTCTCTCTCTTCCTTAATTGTCTATATGTTTAAAGATAATTTTCTACTGCTCCTGTTCTGTTATTCAGTTTAGACAAACGCTGTTCTGTGAAAAAGTTTTGCACCAAAATTTTTCTTCTGCCTGAAGGTTTACAAAACAACAACATAGTATTAAAATATTTGAAGGTTTTCGTAATACAAATAACGGTATGCAATCAAACTTTTCACTTAAATTCAGTTTCATATGAAACATTTTTTAGGAAACGCTTCAACATTGCAGAGCAGGATATGTAAAATACAGAAGACGGAATATTTTTTAAAAGAGTTATTATCAAAAAGAAAGATGTGTTTAGCAGAAAGAAAAAAACAGTAAAGGAGAAAAGACCAATGAAAAAATCAAAGTTTCTCATTGGCTATTGGTGTTAATTATGATATGCCGCATACACGAGAATCTTGTTCATTTTTAGTTTTATTTTGTTTAATTTCAAATAATGTTTTCATTGCTCGATAGATTTTTTGAAATTGCTTTATTGGCAATAGATTGTCATTAAACTTTTGCAAATAATATTTCGAATAATGTTGATATTGTGATTCCCCATCATCATTCTTACTTTTAATACAATCGTTATAATATGTTGTTATATCTTCAATTGTTTTAAAATCATACATTTGTTGTAATTCAGGCCATAAATTATTTTTTTGAAACCATTGGGTAACTTTACGATCAACTGGTCTATCTTTTTTTTGTTTAGCTGTTGATGGTAGTTCTAAAGGCGCGCTTCAAGATTGTGTCTGTTAAGTAAAATCTTACCTTGAATAACTAATGCTTTATCGCTAATTGCTAATTGAATTAAAGTCATCAACCCTTGTATTTTATCTTTTTCTTCGTTTGGAGTTTGTCGAAAACGAACATATTTAAAAACTGCTAATCGTATATCTTAAACAATTGACAATAAGTATTAAGGGCCATAGACAATAAAAGACGATATTAACGAAGAAAGTTGAATGTTTGTAGCGAATTAGCTCTGAGAGATGCTTCGCTAAGAAAATCTAATATTCTCAATATGGGCAACGTTTCCTGATTTATTAACAGCTTTAACCTCTCATTTTATGCTGATTATTGACTCTATTTTCTGCAGCTGATTTCAAAAATTTTAAACACATGTAGTTTTTTCTATGACGTCTGAAAATCATTTTCAAACAGGAGACAAAGTCTCAAACAATTACTACCAGTCCATGGGTATTTGAAGTCTACACTCTACCGACTCTTTTTGAAGTCGATCTGGGGCGTAATGAATGTTATCGATTGCCAGATACATGGCACTCCAAACGCTCCTCAGAAAATATCGAGAAATAAAGTAGATTTACTTCAGAAACATCACGAGAACTTAAAAAGCAGGATGACGACGAAAAATTTGAAACTAGAAGTAAGGGTTTTTGAATTTGCAGCTAGCTTGCCCGCCGAATTTTCAGATTAATCTCGTTATTTTTTGTAAAACAAGCTTTATGCCCCTCCAGTTTCTGCATGGAAGTAAATGGCGTCGAGAATG